CCGCCCCGCCCTTGTTGTCCTGCTTTACCAATGTTAAAATCTGGTCACCCTAATATAGACACCCAGACGGCAGATCAGAGAGAAACAAATGGGACTGAAAAATACACTTCAAAAACAAAGTTCCAAACGGAAAGTTCTCAAGAGTATTCTTCCAAAAGCCTCCCTACTCTGCGTCCAAATGGAGAAACCTCCCCAAGACAAGACGTTCCTCTTTTTGTTAAGAGGAAAGATGACCAAACCCCCCAAAGGGCCACGTGCTTCCAAAAGAGGCTAGGGAGGGGAAAGGGTACTGAGTGTGCACGGAACGCTGCCCAGAGGCGTTTTTCAGTCCCAGCAACTTTTTTTCCACCATAAGCCAAGTTTCTAAGAACCGTGGGTCAGTAACATCCTGCCAACAGAGTCCCAGAGATGACCCATTGTCCATAAAGGACTGTGTGGCCTTAAGGGCACACTCCTAAGTCTGCCTTCACTGGTGAGAGGCTGCTGAACCACTGGAAAGTGCCCTCAAACCCCTATTTTTTTTTTTTAACCACAGGATTTTAAAAAATTAATTAAAAGATTGCTCAACAAATAAGCCATAATTTTCCTACATAGATAGGAACCCCTAATTTTGATACAGCCCAGCCGGGTCCCTTGTCTACTGCCCAACAAAGGCTAACTGAGAAACAAGTGTTGCAGCACAGGAGTGTTACTTCACAAGGTACCAACCAAGGAGACGGGAGTAATTCTTAAATCCATTTCCCTGAGAATTCTGGAGCTAAGATTTTTTTTTTTGCAGTTTTTGGCCGGGGCTGGGTTTGAACCCGCCACCTCTGGCATATAAGGCCAGGGCCTTCCTCCTTTGAGCCACAGGCGCCACCCTGGAGCTAAGATTTTTAAACATGTTTTGACCAGAAAAAAAAAAAAAAAAACCTAGGGAATTGGGCCTGATGATTGACTGGGACTGAACTCATAGGTGTAGGAAGCAGAAATCATCTCAGTAGAGAGATTTCCTGGATAAGGGATCTCAAAGCTTATTGGATCTGTTCTCAGCCTATGAGTTCAGTTGATGTCAGTGGGTCCCCACCCCACCCCGCCCCCAATGCAGAGTTTGCAAAACATCTCAAAAAAAAATTTGTAGGCTCTACATAGCTAATGCTATTTATAGAAGCGGTTGGGGAAGTCACAAATCTTGCACCTGTCAGGGAGGACATGTGCCATTAAGCAGTTCACTAGTGAGGAAGTTAGGAAAGAATATCTGGTTAACTTCTGACTATATCTACACATATTCTGACTTTGGGCCAGGTGTGGTGGCTCAATCCTGTAATCCTAGCATTCTGATAGACTAAAGCAGGACAATCACTTGAGGCCAGGAGTTTGAGACCACCCTCAACAAGAATGAGATGCTGTCTTTCCAAAAAATAGAAAAATTAACTGGGTGTGGTGGTGCACACCTGGAGTCCCAGCTACTGGGAGGCAGCAGCAGGATGATTGCTTGAGTGCAAGAGTTTGAGGTTGCTATGAGCTGTGATAAGTACACTGTAGCTGGGGAAAGAGTGACATGCTGTCAAAAAAGCATTCTACCCAGCGCAACAACATGAGACACTGTCTTAAAACAAACAAACAAACAAAAAACAGAAATTGCAAAAGACCAAGCAGACAAAGGGCCAAGTACTAGAGAGGTGGACAATAATCAGCAGGTATGTTTAGGTCTACACAGATACAAGGCAGTCAGTGAGAGCAGGCAGAAGGGAGGAAGGAGTGATTTGTATAGACAGGCAGCATCCTAGAAGAAACAACACTGATTAGTGGAATTGACCGATTCTGATCCTGGAAAAGATCTATTATCTGTTTGCTCTTAGAACATTGTTCTAAATTTTCTTCCAGGAGCTAGGGCTGATCCCACATTGGCTTCTTCTTCTTCTTCTTTTTTTCAATTTAAGACTTATATGGCACTTCTGAGAAAGACTACAATGACTTATTCTAAGTGAGCTGGAAACACATACTAAGTTACATCAGAGTCTCCACCATTCTTTTCTTCCTTCTCAGTTTTATTTGTGAGGGTTATGGCTATAGATCTACCCAGAAGAAAAATACCATTATCTTCAGAGAAACAAGGGCTTCAGAAGAAACCCCAGCAAAGAAGAACCTAATATAAAGTCCCATTCAGTGAACTGTTAGCTTCTTCGATACAGCAGTCCCAATTATAAAAGGTTTAATCAATAGGGCAAAGTTATTGTTCCTCCCAATGAGAACTCCCGAAGTAAAAGAGTTCCATGGGAGTTTAATTAGTGGCAAGTTCCTTGCCTCATTCTGCTCTGTTGTCCTGGCTTATTCTCTTAAGCTGGTTTTCCTCATGGTCCTGGCTCCTAAAGTTCCAGGCTTCACAAGAAGATTCAACAATATTGACTGATGAAGAGACTCTTTTTGTCATTAGAATAATTTTTCTTGACTCGGCGCCTGTGGCTCAGGCGGCTAAGGCGCCAGCCACATACACCTAAGGTGGCAGGTTCGAATCCCCAGCCCAGGCCTGCCAAACAACAATGACGGCTGCAACCAAAAAATGGCTGGGCGTTGTGGCGGGCGCCTGTGGTCCCAGCTACTTGGGAGGCTGAGGCAAGAGACTCGCTTGAGCCCAGGAGTTGGAGGTTGCTGTGAGCTGTGATGCCATAGCACTCTACCCAGGGGATAGCTTGAGTCTCCGTCTCAAAAAAAAAAAAAAAAAGAATAATTTTTCTTGGGCGGCACCTGTTGGTTGATCAGTGGGTAGGGCACTGGCCCCATATACCGAGGATGGTGGGTTCAAACCCAGCCCCGGCCAAACTGCAACAACAAAAAAAATAGCCAGGCAATGTGCCAGGTGCCTGTAGTCCCAGCTACTCCAGAGGCTGAAGTAAGAGAATCACCTAAGCCCAGGAGTTGGAGGTTGCTGTGAGCTGTGATGCTACAGCACTCTGCAGAGGGCAATAAAGTGAGACTCTGTCTCTACAAAAAAAAAGAAAGAAAGAAAAACTTTTCTGCCAGTCACAAAAGGACAAATATTCTACTATTTGTATTGTATTATACTATGAGGACCTAGTATAATCAAATTTATGAAGGCAGGAAGTAGAATGGTGTTTGCAGTGTTGGGGGGGTGGTGGAGTTAGTGTTTAATGGGTTCAGGGTATTAGTGGTTAAAAGATGAATAAGTTATGGAGATTGATAGTGGTGATGGGTCCACAACAATGTGAATATAGGCTGGGCACACAGGTTCAGGCCTATAATTCTAGCCCTCTGGGAGACTGAGGCAGGAGGACTGCTGAACTCAGGAGTTCCAGACCAGCCTGAGTGAGACTGAGATCTCATCTTTACTAAAAATGGAAAAATTAAGGCCAGGCATGGTGGCTCAAACCTGTAATCCCAGCACTCTGGGAGGCTGAGGTGGGTGGATCACCTGAGTTCACGAGTTGGAGACCAATCTGAGCCAGAGTGAGACCTTCTCTCAAAATAGCCAGGTGTTGGCTCGGCGCCTGTGGCTCAAGCGGCTAAGGCGCCAGCCACATACACCTAAGGTGTTGGGTTTGAATCCCCAGCCTGGGCCCGCCAAACAACAATCATGGCTACAACCAAAAAATGGCCAGGCGTTGTGGTGGGCGCCTGTAGTCCCAGTTACTTGGGAGGCTGAGGCAGGAGACTCGCTTGAGCCCAGAAGTTGGAGGTTGCTGTGAGCGTGATGCCATGGCACTCTACCCAGGGGGGATAGCTTGAGGCTCCGTCTCAAAAAATAAAAAAATAGCCAGGTGTTGTGGCGGGCACCTGTAGTCTCAGCTATTTGGGAGGCTAAGGCAAGATAATCGCTTGAGCCCAAGAGTTAGAGGTTGCTGTGAGCTATGATGCCAGAGCACTCTACTAAGGGCAACAAAGTGAGACTCTGTCTCTAAGAAAATCAATCAATCAATCAATAGAAAACTTACTCAGGGGTGGTGGTGGGTGACTATAGTCACATATGTCCAAACCCATCCTCTCTGTTGTAATCCTGTTTACTATCTATCCTACTGTGTGCTCCTTAAGGATAAAGATTTTACTTTATTTTATTTTATTATTATTATTTTTGAAACGGAGTCTCACTCTATTGCCCTGGGTAGAGTGCTGTGTTGACAGCCTAGCTCACAGTAACTTCAAATGCCTAGGTTCAAGTGATCCTCCTGCCTCAATCTCCCCGGTAGCTGGGACTATAGGCACCTGCCACCACACCCAGCTAATTTTTCTACTTTTAGTAGAGACAGAGTCTCGCTCTTGCTTGGGCTGGTCTCCAACATGTGAGTGCAAGGGATCATCCCAACTCAGCCTTCTAGGGTGCTAGGATTACAGGTGTGAGCTACCGCCCCCAGCCTATACTTTGTCTTTTTAAGTTTCTGTTCTATATTCCCAATAAGATTTAAAATTCCATGAAAACAGGAATCCTGTTTAATATCTCTTTTTATATTCAATTTATGATCTAATACTAGAAACTTTCACTAAATATTTAGTAGTTCATAGCAGTTAGTTAGATTTTTAGCTTTGATGTTGTCGTCATCATAAAAGATCTGGGGCAATCTTTAAAGCCAATTTTGATTGTAATTGAATAATGAGGCTGTTAAAATATGAAAGTTAACACTTCTATCACATTTAATCCTAGTAATATGTATACAGTTGTATTATATATCTATACATACATTTATCAGAATACACAGAATTATAATTATACATGGCTATTATTTATGTTCATGTACTATGGCTCAATTTTCAAAGGCAAATGTTTATAGTGCACTGCAGGACACCTGTGTTCACAGATCATTTCCTTGAAACTATATTTGGATGCACAAGCTATTAAAAGCTTCTTGTACTAAGTGACCTTTCAGGCAGAATTTAGATCCAATGCTCATGCTCCCCCTGCTTGTTGCTGAGTGGAACACAGAAGAAAACCCTGGATTCAAACATCTATTGGGTTTTTGTTTTGCTTTGTTTTGTTTTGTTTTTTCTTTTCATTTTGCCTTTGGAAGATGAACAATGAAACTACAACCTTGATGTCCTTGCAGGAGGCAATGAAAAGGTTGCTAAGGGCTATCGGGAGGGAGCAAGCCGGGGTCTGCTATTCTGGGAAGATGGGTACCATGAGAAAAATGAAGAATAGCGATAACCAAAAAAACTACAGACATGCTAATTAGAATTCTGTCTCTGTTAAAGTGGCTTAGGTCTTCCAGGTCCAAAAATGTGTAAATTAATAATAAAAGAAAAATCTTCTCTCGGGTACTATAACTCCATTCAGCTTATGCATGCACTAAAGGCTAGATTTATAAAAACAAGTAAAATGTGGTTTTTGTCCTCAAGGAGCTCACAGCCTGTAAGAATGACAGAAGTATCCAAAAATACTTAAAATGTAATGTGATTAACCTTATAATGGTGATGTACCCAAAGAGCTATGGAAATATGAAAGGAGGACCTATCAATTTTGCCTTTGACACTAGGAAAAGGAGCCCTTCATGGAGGGGACATTCAAGCTGGATCTTTTTTTATTTTTTCTTTTTACTTCAGGCTCCTTTATTCCATGAATATTTACAGAACATCAACTATCAAGCTGGATCTTAAGCACAATAGGAGTTTATGAGGAAGAAAAGTATGGGAAAGAATTCTAGGCTGAGCAAACAGTACATATAAGCCTTATGTAGGCTTGGAATCACCTACTGCATTTAGTTAGCGGCTAGATACCTCACTTACCTGAGGTGTCTGCTGGTAATGTGTGACCAGGATGTGTGAGAGGACTAGGAGAAGATGGGGGCAAAAGGAAAGGGGCTGTACATTTCCTACTGAGGAGGTATGATATGCTGTAAGAGACCATTGGGCAAGTCAGGGGGCATAAAGGCTTATAATTAGTGGAATTATGTGATCAGAATTGTGTTTCAGAAGAATGTGTCTGGAGGATGGATTTGAGACTGAAAGCGAGAGTCCACTTAGGCTACAGTAACCCTAGGTCCCCATGAAAGACTATGAGAAACTCATTTAGTGGGGATGAGGAGGAGGGGATGGATTAGGGAGACATTAATGAGGGGAATTTGCATGTTGTTTCAGATTTATCTGGAGTAGCCTGGAATGTCCTTTAGTGAGAGGATCCCAAAGAACTGCTGCAACTGTCAATTTTTATACTGATTGACAAGCTAGAGTTTATCCCTAGAGTTACAGCTAGAAATGACCTATAACCAATATAGTCTTTGAGATCTAAAAGCTAATACAAATTGTATGCCAGATTACATGGTTTTGACTTGTAGATAGAGATTGCTGGCATAGTAGGTCTTACAGATTAATACTCCTACAAAACACACATTTCATACTGAGTCTTATCTATGTGTAAACAGAATCCAAAGCAGAAGATTTCCCCATAGTAATTTCTAAAAATGGGGGATGGTAGTGGATTTAGTTTAGGATGCTGAATTTGACATCCCATCCAGATGAAGGTTTGGAAAACAGTTGAAAATACAAGTCTAGAGCTTAGGAGTTGGAAGTACCTGAAACTAAATAGGCCTTCAAAGAAATTGAGGACCAAGAAGTAAAGATGGTCAAAAATAGAATTCTGGGTGACCACAAAGATGTTCAAGTCATTGGGGGGTCATAGAAGCCAATGGAAGTGGCATGTGAGTTTGTGCATCACTTCCTTCATGGAAAACAATGTGGGTGGCTCAAATAAGTGACTTTCAGTGTGGCAGTTCTTTCTGGTTAATTGGACTTAATTCTGATGATCATGGCTGTTCAGAGCTCTTCAAACTCCCATTTTGGGTTACACAACTCAGCATCTCATTCATATCACAGATGCCAATCATATGGGAAATATTTTGTTATATCTGCAAAAGGCCTTTGCTAGGTATTTGGGAACAGGCATAATGGTCTCTCAGCCCCTCCCTCCAACAACTTACAATTCAATTCATGAAAAGCTAACTCTAAAAATAACATGCCAGGGATTAGGGATGGTTGAAGTAATCCCTGTGAAAGCAAAGTAGGAAGGGGAGATCTCCAGATAGAGGCAGGATTCAAGAAGGCAGTGGAATATGGGTTGATCCTTGAAGAAAAGATAGGACTTAGGTGATCAGAATAGGGTAGAAAAAAGTCATCTTAATATATACTAGTCCCAGAAATGGCTAGCTTCTTTTTTTGTTTTTTGAGACCGTCTTACTCTGTCACCCTCTGTAGAGTGCTGTGACATCATTATAGTTCATAGCAACCTCAAACTCTTGAGCTTGCGCAATCTTCTTGCCTCAGCCTCCTGAGTAGCCAGGACTACAAGCACCTGCCACTATGCCCAGCTATTTTTTCATTTTTAGTAGAGACAGGGTTCTCACTCTGGCTCAGGCTGTTCTCAAACTTCCAAGCTCAAGGGATCCTCCTGCCTTGGTCTCCCAGAGTGCTAGGATTACAGGCGTGAGCCATCACACCTGACCTACCACTTTATGACATTAGTTCTTAGTCTTTTTGAAACTCAATTTCTTTTCCTATAAAATAGTAAAAATAACCATTTCACTTCTTGTGGTTGTGAGAATCGAAGTAATGCTTATATAAAATATTCTTTAAAGTGTCAAATATAAAGTATAATACAAAGACTAGACATGGCAGATAATTCAAGTTCTCAGATGATTCAAAAGTGTGGCCATATAAGGAAAGAAAGAACAAGGATGATGGCTAAAGGGAATGGCAAATGATAATATCTGTTCATAATTTTCTTTTTTGAGACAGAGTCTCACTTTGTTGCCCTTGGTAGAGTGCTGTGGTATCATAGCTCACAGCAACCTCAAACTTTTGGGCTCACAGCAACCTCAAACTTTTGGGCTCACAGCAACCTCAAACTTTTGGGCTCCAGTTTTTCATTTTTAGTAGAGACAGGGTCTTGCACTTGCTCAGGCTGGTCTTGAACTTGTGAGCTCAGTCAGTCCACCCACCTCAGCCTTCCACAGTGCTAGGATTACAGGTGATTACCTATAATATGAATAAAATTACTATTTCTAATTTTAAATTTAAATAGTTAACCTGAGCTGTGATGACTCAAGTACACAAGCTGAGTGTAATCTCAGCACTTTAGGAGGCTAAGGCAGGAAGATCGCTTCAGGACAGAAGCTGGATACCTGCCTAGGCAACATTGTGAGACCCTATCCCTGCAAAAAAATTAAAAAATTATACTGGTGTGGTGGTACACACCTGTAGTCCCAGCTACTCAGGAGGCTGAAGCGGGAAGATATTTGAGCTCAGGAATTTAAGGCTGCAGTGAGCTGTGATTGGGCCACTGCACTCCAGCCTGGGTGACAGCACAAGACCCTGTCTCTAAAATATAAATAAATAAATAGTTACACAAATTTGGTAGTGGTTCTAAATAATGGATTGAGCCTTTAGCCTGAAGGAAAACCTTGTTTTGTCCCCAATCTAAACTAACCCTTGATTCTTTTATCCTATAGAGTAGACAACAAACTCCAAGCTTTAGAAGCACAGTTTAAAGAATTGGATTTCACTAAGGATAATCTGACACAGAAATTTGAAAATCATAGTAAGACTTTGGCAATCCAAGCAGCCCAAGATGAGATGTGGACAGCAGTTCTGGCACTTAAGTGAGTATGGACTGAGAAACCAGTGGAATTTTATGACTTTGTGGTCATTCCAAAATCGAATTTCTCAATGTTGGTTCCAACAATAGATTGCATTTTTTTACATTTTTGAGACAGAGTCTCACTTTGTCACACTAGGTGGAGTGCCATGGCATCATAGTTCACAGCAACCTCAAATTCTTGGATTCAAACGATTCTCTTGCCTCAGCCTCCCAAGTAGCTGGGACTACAGGCACCTGCCACAGTGCCTGGTGATTATTAGAGATGCAGTCTCACTCTTGCTCAGGCTGGTCTCATATTCCAAAGCCCAAGCAATCCACCTGCCTTAGCCTACCAGAGTGCTAGGATTACAAGTATGGCCATCTTTTTTCTTTTCTTTTCTTTTTGAGACAGAGTCTCACTCTGTGCCCTGGGTAAAGTGCTGTGACATCATAGCTCACAGCCACCTCAAACACCTGGGCTTAAGTGATCCTCTTGCCTCAGCCTCCTGAGGAGCTGGGACTACAGTTGCCCACCACAACACTTGGCCAGTTTTTCTATTTTTAGTAGAGACAGTATCTCAATCTTGCTCTGGCTAGTCTCCAACTCCTGAGCTCAAATGGTCCTCCTGCCTTGGCCTCCCAGAGTGTTAGGATATAGGTGTGAGCCACAGTGGTTGGCCAGAAAATTACATTTTCTTCATTTATTCAAATAAGATTAATTTAAGGAGGCACTGTGGTGCATATCTCTTCACAGTCTCTTGCTTGCCAAAGTCACACTAATATAGAGATGGATAATGTTACTCCCTTGCCTTTGAGGAACTTAGGGTATGGGCGGCCTGAGAACTTGGCTATCTACTTTAGCGTAGACTCTAATTCAAGAGTATTTTCTAAACCACAACAGCTATTTCTCCTCGTGGGTTTTTGTATTACCCTAATAGAATTAATTTTATGTTTGTACATAAAGTATTCAACAGCTTAAGAATCTCTCCATATTTTTTGCAGGTTCACTCCAATGGAATTGAATATTGTATACAGCTATGTTGCTGAAGTACTTATCTGCTTACACACTCATGTGCTTGAGAAATTGCCGGACCTGGTGAGAGGTCTTCCCACCTTAGCCTCTGTCCTTAGACGAAAAGTCAGGAATAAGCGCATTAGAGTTGTGTGGGAGTCTGTCCTAGAGGAGTGTGGGCTGCAAGAAGGAGATATCACAGCACTTTGCACCTTCTTTATTGCGCATGGTAACAAGGCAGAGCACTATGCTGCTAAAGTGAGACAGATGTACATCAGGGACATCACGCTCATGATTACTAACATGGTGAAGAACCAGGCTCTGCAGCAAGGCTTGCTGAGAGCTGTTCACATAATTGAGAAGGGGAAAGCAGTGAGGAACCCTGAAGAGCAACCGTCATCCTTGAAAGAGTTGTTACCATCAGTCAAAAACTAACCTGTCACCCTACCACCCAGTGACTCCACTTTTAGTAATCTATCTGGCAAATGGAAAAAAGGGTGTATGATCTATTTGGTACAGGATTATTTTTATAGCACAATGTGAGGGAATGTGCTATGAAAATAATTCGAGGGAATGTCAAATTATGACAAATTACATTTGAGGGAATGTCAAATTATGGCAAATTGATATAATGGTTACTTTCTGTACCGCCACATAAAAGAATGAAGAAGCGCTCTGTGTAATGATAGGAAGTTATCTCTAAGATGTATTGCTGTTTTAAATATTTGTTTTCAATACATATTGTTAAGTGGAAAAAGGGGGCAAAAACCAAACATGTATATAACGCGTATGAGTTTACATATCCATAAACTTTTTCTACAGAGGTATGTAGGAAGTGATAATATTAGTTGTCATTGGAAAGAAAACTAACAGGACGGGGTCAAAGATAAGAAATAGTCTTTTCACTGTGAAATCATTTAGTACATTTTGAATTTTGAACCATGTGACAGTATTATTAAAAGACAAACAATAAAAATACCTACCCTATGTATCATGATGTGCTAATTGTATATTGATGTACATGGTATATTTGCTCACTAGCACGGTACCATAGTTATTTATACTGAAAAGGGAATTCTCACACTTTGACTATTTTTTTTAATAACATTTATTGAACATCAAATGGCATGTGCTAGGTGCAGTGAATAACAGAAACATTAAAAAAAATGTAGACCTTGGCTGGGTGAGGTGCCTCACACCTGTAATCCTAGCACTCTTGAGAGGCCAAAGAAGGTAGATTGCTTCAGCTTAGGAGTTTGAGACCAGCCTAAGCAAGAGTGAGACCGCATCTCTACTAAAAAATAGAAAAAATAGCCGGGCATTGTGGCAGGCGCCTGTAGTCTCAGCTACTTGGGAGGCTGAGGCAAGAGAATTGCTTGAGCCCAAGAGTTTGAGGTTGCTATGAGCTATGATGCCATGGCACTCTACCAAGGGTTACAAAGTAACACTCTGTCTCAAAAAAAAAATGCATAAAATGTGAAACTATACTTTTGAACAATTTTTGTTAAGTTACTGATCAGTAGTAAAAGTGCAATCACACGAAAAGCCCAATATTTTGCATATTTAAACTGTTTTTTGCTGTCTTTACTTGTAAGGTGTTGAAAGTGGGACCCACTCCTGAGTTATTTTTTTTTTTTGAAATGGAGTCTTACACTGGGTGGAGTGCAGTGACAGCATAGCTCACAGCAACACCTTAAACTCTTGGATTCAAGAGATCCTTTTGTCTCAGCCTCCTGAGTAGCTAGAACTGTAGGTGTGGACTGTTAAGCTCAGCTAGTTTTTTATTTATTTATTTATTTGAGACAGTGTCTCAGTCATAGCTCACAGCAACCTCAAACTCTTGGGCTCCACCATGCCCGTAGCTCAGTGAGAAGGGCACTGGCCACATACTCCTAGGCTGGTGGGTTCAAGCCTGGCCTGGGCCTGCTGAACAACAATGACAACTGCAACAAAAAAATATCTGGGTGTTGATGGGTGTCTGTAGTCCCAGCTACCTGGGAGGGTGAAGCAAGAGAATTACTTCAGACCAAGAGTTAGAGGTTGCTGTGAGCTGTGATGTCACAGCACACAATTGAGGGCAACATAGTGAGACTCTACCTCAGAAAACAAACAAACAAAAAAGCCCAAAAAACTCTTGGGCTCCAGTGATTCTCTTGCCTCATCCTCCCCAGTAACTGGGACTAAAGGAGCCACCACAATGCTGGGCTATTTTTAGAGACAAGGTCTGGGTCTGGGTCTGGCTCTGGCTCATGCTAGTCTGGAACCTGTGAGCTTAGGCAATCAACTCATCTTGGCCTCGGAATTGCTAAGATTATAGGCCCAGAGATGAGGGTCTGGCTCTTGGCTCAGGCTGGTCTCCAGCTCCTGAGCTCAAGGGATCCTCTTGCCTCAAACTCCCAAAGTCTAGGATTATAGGCCTCAGCCAGAACCCCTGGCCCTGAATCTTCTTTCTAGTGGTAGAATAAGGTACATATAGTTCTGAGGTGCCACTCGTGCTGAATTTATGGTTTGTGCAAATAAATTTATAAGCAGTAGGAAGTTTTGTTGTTGTAGAATTATCAGTCATACGGTAAGCCAACAATGCCATTCAGGAGGCACCATCTTCCATCCATAGTCCAGAATGTGTTTTTTCTTTCTTTCTTTCTTTTATTTTTTTTTTTGGTTGCAGTTTGGCTGGGGCTGGGTTTGATCCTGCCCCTCTCAGTATATGGGGTGGGGGTATATGGGGCCAGCGCCCTACTCACTGAGCCACAGGCGCAGCCTGTGTGTATGTGTGTGTGTTTTCTTTTGAGACAGAATCTCACTATGCCGCCCTTGGTAGAGTGCTGTGGTGTCACAGCTTACAGCAACCTCTAACTCCTGGGCTTAAGCTATTCTCTTGTTTCAGCCTCTAAAGTAGCTGGGACTACAGGCACCGCCACAACGCCCGGCTATTTTGTTGTTGCAGTTGTCCTTGTTTTAGCTGGCCTGGGTGCGGTTTGAACCTGCCAGCCTCAGTGTATATGGCCGACCTGTAACCACTGTGCTACCAGCGCTGAGCTACCAGAATGTGTTTTTGCCATTGATTTCAGTATATATAACCAATCAGTGGCAGCCCCCAAATTGCTTGTTGTCTTCAAAGTATTTCTTTTCTTATTTGTCTTACCCCACTAAAGCACCAAACCTTAAATCATTTACCCTGAAAAAAAGAAACCATAGATAGGGGTGGCACCTGTGGCTCAAAGGAGTAGGGCGCAGGCCCCATATGCCAGAGGTGGCGGGTTCAAACCCAGACCTGGCCAAAACCTGCGCCAAAAAAAAAAAAAAAAATCCATAAACAGCCATGGAGGCTGCCATGACAGCTGACCTGCTGCACCCTATGCTTTAGGACCTGCGCTAACTCTACTTTGTCCCACAGCCCAACCCCACCCATTTTTTTGAGACAGTCTTGCTCTGTTGCACTGGTGAGTGCAGTGGCGTCATCATAGCTCACTGCAACCTCAAACTCATGGGCTGAAGCTGTTCTCCTGCCTCAGCCTCCTGAGTAGCTGGCACTACCTATGCCAGGATACCAGGCTAATTTTTATATTTTTAGTAGAGATTAGGTCTTGCTCTTGCTCAGACTGATTTCCATAGTGCTAGGATTACAGGTAAGCCATCGCACGCAGCTGAAAATATACTCTTGTTAACCTCCTTTGCATAATTTTTTTCTACCTTTGCATAATTTGGGTCTAGATTGAAACTTAATAAAACTATACATATATAGGTTTTTTCATTTTTTTGTTTTGAGACAGAGTCTCACTAAGTTGCCCTCAGTAGAGTGCAGTGGCATCATGGCTCACAGTAACTTCTAACTCTTGGGCTTAAGTGATTCTCTTTGCTTCAGCCTCCCAAGTATCTGGGACTATAGGCGCCGGCCACAATGCCTACCTATTTTTTTGTTGTAGTTGTCATTGTTTAGCAGGCCCAGGCCAGGCTTGAACCCGCCAACCCCTGTGTATGTGGCCAGAGCCAGTACAATTGATATACACGACATAAACATCTAAGCCTCAGAACTGAGGCAGCATTCAAGTTTGCTGCCCAAGCCAATAGGCTTCAAGCCCTTTGAAGGCAAGGCAATTCCAATACAATCTATCTCTGGGTTGCAGACAGGGGCTAGGCGACACAGTGGGAAGTATTAAGCGTCTGTTAAATAGTCCCAGGTCTGTTAAATAGTCCCAGGTGTGTGGATTCTCCTACCACACCCTTTCTCAGAGATCAGCCTTCTTAGAGATGCTTTTCTTTTCTTTTTTTATTAATATGGAACGCTTCATGAATTTGCGTGTCATCCTTGCACAGGGGCCATGCTAACCTCTGTATCGTTCCAATTTTAGTATATGTGCTGCCCAAGAGAACACTAGAGATGCTTTTCTAAGAACTCTGGAAAGGAATTTAAGGAGCTTAGTTACAAATCAATAGAAACAAAAGGTACTTTTAAGAGTACTGAGTAATGAATTTCAAAAATTACTCTTTGGGCTTGGCGCCTGTGGCTCAAGCGGCTAAGGCGCCAGCCCCATACACCTAAGGTGGCGGGTTCGAATTCCCAGCCCCGGCCCGCCAAACAACAATGATGGCTGCAACCAAAAAAAAAATGGCCAGGCGTTGTGGC